CCAATGGCTGACTGATGACTGCGACCACCGTATGTCTGGAACCTGGCCTCCAGGGCTTGAAAGGAAAAGAAAAGGGTTGATGTAGCTCAGTGGTTAGAACACCGGTTGGAAATGCGCATTGTGGTATGAGGTTGTGGGTTCAAAACTCCACAGCCTCGCACATGGACACCGGCAGGGCGTTAGAATGACGCACGGCGGCCCAGCCCTGGGCTGACACATGGTATTATTACAGACACTGCCTGCGCACCATGGGTATTGTATGCTGGCCTAGTCTTCACGTTGGTCGCTGGTTGTTGTCGGCTTTTGTCGCTCTGATGATCTCCCCAGTCCAGATATTGCACACACTATATCCACTTCTTACCATAGTACAAGTGGTAGAACCCTCCAGTTTCATACTGTAGGTCACAGGTTCAAGTTCGGTTGCGGACTTTGGGGGAGATCTGTCTCTACCACATCTACACACACACACACCCCACATAGCACAGTCACATACATAATCTATCACATATCATATACAGCTATTCGCTCGCGTTGATTCTCTGGATGGCCCTGGTTGGGGATGTTTGGCTCTCCTATGGGGAAGCTGTTGAGGATGAATGTCGCTTTCTTGGGTCGGGGGGTGGCATGGGGGTTGGGGGTGCATGGTGATACCATGGCAGTCCAATGGTTGGGAAGGGGTGCCTTGTAGGGAAACCAATGTCGAATCAAGGGGTGTGTCCTACTCTCGTTGACTGTAGACCCATTCAGGGAGTGAGTTAGCAGCGGTTAGTCGAGGGTAGTTGATACCGGACGAGGTCTCCTCCAATACCTCTGGTTGATTCTCCCTAGCAAATTACAAGGTACACACACACATATAGGTACTAGTGGTCCAGTAGTGGAGGTGATAAGAGCACCTCTCACCGGTACGCAGTACTCACTTCGCGGATGCTCCATGGTGGGGAGCAACATACAACCATACATATAGCTACACGCATACACAAGGGCTGGGTGGAGGTCACACAGGGGCCAATAGGTGATTGCTTGAGCCTGGCGTCCGAAGTACCCGTACGCCGAGGCTCGTTCGACAATGCTTCAATCAGGACTGGGTCGCTAGCCCTGGTGCCTGTGGCTACTGTTCGGTTCAAGTCCCCCTCGATACAGGTAGGGTGACAGTCCTGAGTGCTGGTCACATTGAGGTAGGATAGTAGGGATAGGGGATACGCTAAGAGTATTGACGTGAGGTTGGAATGGGTGGTGGCCTCGCCTTCTCAGAGCGACCAGGGAGGACTACTTCCGGCGATCAACGTGTGCCTAGTAACTGGCCTCTACAACACCCTAAACTTTTTATGTAAAAAAAAAAGAAAAGAAAAAAAGAAAAGAAAAGGGTCTCTGGAAGTATCGTGAAATTCAGAAATTGAGGGTCTGAACCCCTAGAATAGGCATCGTGATCGAGCCATGAATGTCAACCATGATGATACTGACTGAGAACTCAACCTGAGAGCTATTTTTATTGGATGTGCATTGGGTGTGTCCCGACCGGCGGCAGCAGGACCTGAGCAGCCACTTGCAGTTGGCCTGATGCTTCCCCATTGCTACGGGGTACAGGGGTGGCACAACTCACCCCTGCAAGTTACTAGTGATGACTGCCCATTGCCACCAATCCTCCTAAGGCCACTGAACCTGCCCATGGCCACCACACGCTCTCTCTCTCTCTCTCTCTGTGTCTCTCTCTCTCTCACACACACACACACACACTCACACCAAAACAAGTATGGCAGTGTATATTCCCACGCTATAGCGCCAGATTCATTCGATTTTGCTCATCCTATCGAGGGCGCAGTACCATGAGGCCAGCCGGGACGAGAGAGAGAGAGAGAGAGAGAGAGAGAGAGAGAGAGAGAGAGAGAGA